TGATATAGTTGAGGGCTGGGTCTCTGGTTTATCCATAGTGTCTGTTGGTATGTTTTCAGATCCAGAGACCCTCTCTTCTCCTTGAGAGTGCTGAATAGTACTGAGCAGTGTTCAGGAGGTGCAGGCTAGGCCTCAACACAGTGCGATAAGTTGTGCCTCTCTGGAATAGCCGGGGCATCTTTTTTTCAAACATTCTATCACTTCATCAGGATCTGGGAGTGAAGTTCCAGACCATTGGAGGTGACAACCTTTCTAGATATCTGCCCATATTCTCCCACATGCCTTGCCACCCATAACCACACTGCCACGGGGCCTGGGTGATATTCCTAAATAGTTGGTTAACCTTGGAAAAAGCTGAAACAATATTCCGAAGAAATACCAATAGGAGTATTTTGGTTACCCAAGGATGTTCAAGATACTGAAGAGTTATTGTAACAAGGGAAAAAACATCACAGAAGAAGGTGGTGAAGGTGCCACTCTCTATTTCCTCCACCAAAAACCTCTTGGAGGAAAAAGTGTAATTGTTAATTGTCTCCATGAGATGGTTCCCGAATTACAGTAATGGCATCAGTACAGAGCCCAAATAGCCGATTAAGCTCAAGGTCAGTGTTTTAATAATAAATCTCCCAGGCAAAACACCACTAATCACTACAGAGCACAGCAAACTGCAAAAGCCAAAACCAGTCTTTACCATGTACAGCAAAAACGGGAGCATGGCACAGATCAGATAAACTAATATCGAGAACAGATAAATCAATATTGTGACCAGCAACTGTTAACAGATATAATAATTATAAATTCCTTCTAATACACTCTGGTCAAATCTGATATTATCTCAAACCCTTCGAGCCCCATGTTGGGTGCCAAAAAGGACTGTCATGGTTTAACTCCAGCTGGCAACTAAGCACCACACAGCCGTTTGCTCACTCCCCCCCAGTGGGATGGGGGAAGAATTGGAAGGGTAAAAATGAGAAAGAAACTCGTGGGTTGAGATAAAGACAGTTTAATAATTAGAAAAAAATTTAAAAAAAAAAGTAAGAAAAAAAAACGACAAAGAGAGAGGAAAATAAAACCCAAGAAAAACAAGTGATGCAAATGAAAACAATTGCTCACCACCAACTGACTGATGCCCAGCTAGTCACCGAGCAGCGGCACTCCCTGCCAACCTCCACCCCCAGTTTTATTGCTGAGCATGGTGTCACATGGTATGGAATATCCCTTTGGCCAGTTGGGGTCAGCTGTTCCAACTGTGTCCCCTCCCAACTTTTTGTGCACCTCTAACCTACTCGCTGGCAGGGCAACGTGAGGAGCAGAAAAGGCCTTGACACTGTGTGAGCACTGCTCAGCAGTAACTAAAACATTGGTGTGTTATCAACACTGTTTTCAGCACAAATCCAAAACAAAGCCCCATACAAACTATATAACTTATACTAACCTTCCAGTAATGAAACTCCCTTGGACGTTTTAATGCTTTGTATTTATGCTCTTATTGTAGCTAACTGCATGTCTTTTCGAGGAACTATTCTGTATCTTCTTTTTAGCACTTATGTTCATATGCAAAGACCTAAATAGTAGATATTCCATAGGCTTTATCATACAAAATTAAGTTTTGATAAAAGTATTATTTTCTTAGACTGTTAAGGGAATCTTTGTTTTTACTTGCATTTAGTATTTGATCCCTCTTGATAAAAGAAGAATGTTACTATCTTTTAATGTTGTGGTGTTTTTTGTTTTATGCATCCTTAGCACACTTTAAAGTATCTATTAGATTCTAAATCAAAGAAGGATAAATATTCATCTGTCATAGCTACTTAAACTGTGTGAAAAATGCACAAGGTGTGCTTGGGATACCAATAAATGTATCTTTCATGATCAGATTTCCTCAAATGTTTTGCTGAAACTATGCTCAAGAATTCATCGTGTTCATTAAACTTTATATTATGATTGTACTTCTAACATAAATCTTACTGTAACTCTCTTCAGTTTCCTTAAAGGAGACATGTTTATTGTCCATAATGAATTGGAAGATGGCTGGATGTGGGTTACAAACCTACGGACAGATGAACAAGGTCTTATTGTAGAAGACCTGGTAGAAGAAGTGGTAAGTAATTTTATATTCAAATCTGTTGCAGAACTGAGATTTGATTATTTTTTTTTTTATTAATTGTGTGTGTGTGTAAGTTAACATTGAAATAAACCCAAACTAGTGGCGTTTAACTGCCTGACTTTATGTACTTTTCTAAACCTTCCTGCAGTAATTGAATCTGCCAATTTTTAAATAGTGTAACAAACCTTTAAGTCTAACTCAGTATCCAGACAAAGTACTTATTCACATGTTATCCAAACAAGTTCATGTGCAAATGAATGATACTGTGAACTTATTAGGCAGTTCCCTAAACTCACCAGTCCTGACAAAGAACTTGCTAGTTATTCAGTTGCATTCTTTTTTTGTTTGTTTGTTTGCTGTGAAACATTCATAAATATATAGACTGAAATTTTGCACTGTGGTATGTCTTTTTATTTTAAGGGCCAAGTGTGGATTAAAAAGTATATTGATGAGTTAATTATACCTAGAAGGGCTTATGCTAAGTCAGGAAGCTAACCAGGTGACCTAAAGATAATTGAATTACTGCAGGAGAAGAGATGATTTAATGGACAAAACCACTCACCCCACCCTCCCACGTGCTTTTTTTAAAGTTCACCATTGTTTTGGAGTCCTGATGATGTTTGCTTTGCAGCATATATATTTTGCTATTAGTAGAATTTGCTTCACCTGTTTCTCACATCTATATATGTGAATGGCTAAATTGAAATGGCAGTGTTAGAGTATCTAACTGTAGATTTCTACATTAGTGGTTGAAGTTCAGGAAAGTTGTGATTTAAGTTACCATATGTAAAGAAGGACTTGAAGAGTGACAGAAACAATCTTTTGAAATAATGTGTTATGGCTGAATTTCCACTCTAGTGAATGAAGTTGAAAACCTCTTTACATGAACTGTGCAATAAGCCATCTAGTTCAAAAATGTCTTGGACTTCTTAGTGATGTTTATTTCTACAGAAAGAAGGTCTTAACCTATGAAGTTTACTTTTTGTAAACTCAAGCATACTGTTGTCATGCACTTAATATGTTAATTTTCCTATTAGGGAAGAGAAGAAGATCCACATGAAGGCAAAATGTAAGGATTTTTGTTTTGTTATTAAAAGCAAATCATAAAATAACTGTTTCTAAACTTTCGCTATGAGATTGGGAAGGTGAACCAGAGCTGTGTGTACTTGTTTTTTTGATCTTAAGACTTTTCTTCTCTACTAGCTGTTGAAAATGCATAGGTAATTGACATGAAGTCTTATATTAGTTATGCCTAATGTTAATGGGTTTTGCAGTGATAAAATCTTGGATGAGTCTCTGTGTGATCACTTTACCCAGAATATGTACAATGGAGGGTGTGGTGTTTTCCGATTTGTGTGGGTTTTTTTATACACATAGTTTGCCTTAGAGGTAACCTGTTTTCAGGTCTGCTCAACTCTAAATGCAGGAGAGGGAACAAAGTATCATTAGAGGAATGATAGTGTAATAGTAACACTTTCTCTATATTAGCCTCATATACTAACACTTAAAGCGAAACCCAGGAGACTATAGAATAATCTGTTTGCAGTGAATTCCAACTTGTTAAATACTTTAAAAAAAAACCAAAACAAAACCTAATACAATTTACAATGAACAATGAATTGATATTATGGGAAACTGTTGATTGTTATATTATTTTCAGTAGTAAAGATGAGTAGCAAATGAAAGTTACAGAAAATTTCTAGTAGCTGGATAACTTAATCTGTCCTCCATTTGCTTGCTATAATTGCAGCTGCTGCTTCCTGTATTTATTGCCCAGTTTGCGGTCTCTAAAGGACTGATGACTGAAGAAAGCATTTCTTGGGTTTTTTTGTTTGTGGGGTTTTTTGTTGTTTTTTTTTTTAATAGGGGAAAGAAAATCATTGGTGTGTGGCTTCAGTTTACTGGTCTCCAGTGTTCTGCTAGTCAGTTTGGCATAGCAGCATAACAGTAGTAGGGATGCCTTCAAATACAGGATTTTTTTTTTTTTTTTTTTTTTAACAAAGTAGTTTGTAGCAGATTCTTAGAGCTTTGACACTGTCAGTCCAGTTACTCATGCTGCTCAGAGGATTCCAGGAGAGGCAGGGATTTCTGCAAATAATCCAATAGCCAGAGATTGTCCTGTAAAGGTAATATAGAAAGCAAGTTAGAACTAGAGCTCTTTTTTGATGCATAAAAGAGGCTTTCTTTTACACACTTAAACACACACACTCTGCAATGAAAGGCCATATTTCTAGCTTTCCTTTAAAGGACAGGATGAGCTCTTAAGATGTAGCATGTGGTGTCCCACATGTAAACTGAATAGCCATGCAATGTCAAGCTGTTTCCTATAATCATAAGTATCAGATTGAGACTGGATAGATTGCTGTATTTTTTAGGATGATGCTCTGATGCAAGACTCTGTGGAAGATGCAAGGTGTGAGATTAAAGCAATTCATATTCAATAGCCTAACAAAGCTAGGTTTTATTTTCTCAGCTTCTAGCCAAATTTAATTTTAGTTATTCTGTACAGTATTTAACTTTCATTAATCTCTTTGTTTGGGCTTTGCATTTCACACTTCAAATAAATTGCTATCTGAGACTAACTTCAAATATGCCTGTCAAATTATCTAGCATTTAAACAATGACTTTTCATCTCTAAACACACTTGAATTTGAACATCTACTTTGTGTTGGACACTTGTATTCAAATGAGTTTATTTATATAGCTGTAGATATTTATTTTTCATTCTGTTGGTAGAAAAACAGAATTGCTGAGTAACATAACGGTTGCTTATATAATCTAGATGTACTAGATTTTTTAAATAAAGATTAATTCATAGGTGCCAGAGCATTAGATGTCACAACTAAAAAAGAGAGCTGATAGTCTTGCTTTCTAATTTTTCTCTTCATCTTTAAGATGGTTCCATGGGAAGATCTCCAAACAAGAGGCTTACAATTTGCTGATGACAGGTAATTGTATTTCAGATGGAAATACAGTGGTAGTGGAATGACACAAAGTAATCCTGTTTATTACTGCAACAAAACCTGTTTTTTCTGTATGAACATATGAGCATCAGACCTGTGGTTGTTACTACATTGGAAAAAAAATCTCATGGCTGAGCACTGAGTATTTTTTTTATGTTCTCAAGTACAGTTAGTTTCATAATTCTAATTGAAATAGGTAAATATTTTTTATTTTTGTAATATATACAAATAAAAAATATCTTGGGCTTCATCAAAATGCTGAGGAGAAAATACTGTTATGTACTTATGGGAGAATGTATTATAAACTTTTTTTAGTCCACACATAGAGGAAATAATTTTTAAAATGAAAACTTCAAGATTTCTGACTCATACTGTCAAATAACATACCTTAAATATAAGAACAAAAATCTTTAGTTTTTTTTGAAAACATTGTCAAACCTCCCACATGCATACCATATGCTCTTGTAAATTGGCGGCAAAAGTGGGGATAGGTTGTCAGCTACAGCCAAATGATTTTGCGTTAACTTTGGCAGTTTAGTACTACTTCATCCCATTTGGGTGAAGAACGGGGATCGCTGTTGGAACTTACATCAGACTTTCTCCTTTAAGTGTGCAATTCTTGCTAATTTATACAGAAAGAGCTTTGATAAGAGCTCATAAATGACACTAAGTAACAGTGAATAATACTCTATTATGATATCTTTTCAGTTGGTCAGGTGTGCGGTTTTCTTGTGAGGCCTTCAGATAATACACCTGGTGATTATTCACTTTATTTTCGGACCAGTGAAAATATTCAGCGTTTTAAAATATGTCCAACATCAAGCAATCAGTTTATGATGGGAGGCAGATATTATAATAGGTAAGTTTTAATAGTTGTGTGTATTTTATACTTCTGTAAAGAATTTGTATAATGTATTGCTGATAACTTACTGATATGATCATAAGATTTCAGTATTTCTTAAGAATATACTAAGAGTTTTAACTAACTTGCTTAGTAGTTAGTTGTAACTAAGCACATTCTAAAAGCCTTCAAAAGCTTAAGTGTCACTTGTTTCTTTTGAAGTATTTTTCTCCTTCTGTAAATGATTTTCTTCACCCTATAAATTGGATTATGACATGTAATTACATGGAGAAATGTAGGAGAATGCTGTGTTGTCTTGGAAGCTACTATTTATAATAGGGAGTTTTGTGTATATGAAAGGGGAAAATTAAAATGTTAGTTTTATCAGAGACATTCAGTAGGGATTTTAAAGTATAAATAATAGAAATGGGTATTGACAGGAAAGGGAAAAATTATCTTCATCGTTGAATAAAGTCATTAAATTAATCACCTTAAAACATTTGAATGATACTTTGGTCAGAAGTGCAGATCACTTCATTTAGAGTGATGAAACTTGGGATGGGTTTGTTTTGCCATGGGTATAAAAATATGGTAATATGTACAAAAAGAAATAACAAGAGAGAAGTTTCCCCTTTCATGGGAGAAGCTATCAATACAGCTCCATCCTTGAATCTGACACAACTCTATGAATAAGATTATCAAGACTTCTCAGTAGTGAAAACTCACCTTTCTCTTTTAATTGAGGCCACTGCCTGTCACATAATCAGAATTTTTCCAGACTTGTTCACCTAGAACCAGGGCATTCTTCATCCCAATAGAGAATTTCTGTCACTTCCAACTTGGCTTCTGAGCGGGTAGAGATCTAGCAGCTGGTGTGTCTGAGAAAATGTCAAGGTCTCCTAACTAAGAAGTTCAGTGGACTTCTTCATATGATTTCAAACAGACGATGGTTTGAGACTAAGCAATTGGAACCTTATTAACCTATGTGTATCCCACACACAGGCTGCTTGAGTACCTTCTACATTAATCAGTCTGGCCTCCAGACATCCTCATTGAAAATCAAGCTAGCTGCAGTGTCAGCCTTTGATGAAGGTAAATCCTCTTTTGCCCATTCTCTAGTTACATGGCTTATTAGGAGGATGATAGGCTAAAAGCCCACACCCTAGGTGATGTCAAACTAATTAGCAAATTAGTGGAAGTCTTATTAGTCTCAAATGGCTTTGCGACATTAGATAGTATAGCTCCAGAAGTTTACTGCAATAAGTTATTACTTTAGGAAATTAATTTCCCACTGCTGGATTCACTTGAAGTGTATATATAAAATACATTTACCTAGAGAAGATTCTTTCCTTGACACTGGATGGAAAACAAGATTAAAAGATTAAGCATCACTGTTATGATAATATGCTTTTAGAGGGTTTTTTGAATATTTTGGTACCTAGGTTACAAAAATCCCCCTTGGTGAAAGAGATCTGCTTGGCTGTGAAAGACTTCTAGTTTTAGTTTAATGTTTTTGGGAATTACTAATATACTCCTAGGCTCAAATTCTGTCCAAGTTAGTATTTACTAAAAGTTGATAAACTTCTTGGAAGTTCGAACAGTATGTAATGCAAGATAATAAGGATGCAAAACAAAGGTGGTAACTGCCCCAAATTTTTTACCGTAAGATCTACTGCATAAGACAATAAATAAGAAGCAGGAAAAAAGGAATAACTTTCTGTGGGCTTTTTAATTCTTGCACTGGTTTATTTGTTATGGACGCTGGAAGAAGGAAGTCTTTAAATATATGAAGACTAAGGTGGATTGTTGTATGGAACAATCAGAAGTGGCTGAAAAGCATCAAACGTCATTGAATCCAGAACAGAAACATAGGAAGTATGAATTTATGCAAGATAATGAAATGATTTATGAGCATTTCTTGGGGCAGAGAGAACATCTGTTTTTCTTCTTTATAACTTATATAAAAAAATAGAGTTTGTCTTCAAGGTGAAAAACTAGAGGTTGAAGAAGTGCTGCTTGTTTAAATGCATCTGTTAAACGACTTTCATTGATCTTTCTATAGTAAGCTATTTCTTTAAATGCTCTGAAGGTATCTGCTTTAAATCTGATACTACTATTAGACTGGAACTTTAAAAAAAAATCATCCTTGGTAGTAGTGTTGTTTCTCTTAATATTCTTCTCTTGCTGTTTTAGTGATTGTAAGTGGGATTAAAAAATGGATAAAATAAAGCCAATTTGTTCTTTGTTTGCAGAGTATTGATTACAGTTATAGTGACATAAATTACAGACCAAGATTTTCCATAAAAAAGTAAGAGCCTGAAGAATAGTAAGGAAACCAACTGAAAAGTTGGCTATTATTTCATTTCCCAGGTAATTTGAATATCCAGACATGGGACTGGAAGGTCCGCAACTTATATAAGCAATGCTACGTCTCTGCCTATATTCTGAAAGCAAGCCAAAATTATTCTGGGTGATCATGGCGAAAAATTCCTGGGTACATCTCGGGAATCTAGTGTTCTGTGATGCATAGAAAGACTATTTTTTCCACTAACCTTTTCTCTTTGCATGTTCTCCCACCATTCTGTATAAAAATTGCTCAAAACTTCTATTGATGAGTATAACTAACAGACTGTATTTACACTCTCTAATATGGAGGTCTGCTTTCATTATTTCTTATTCTTATATCATCTCTACAAAACAGCCAACTGTACTCTTTTAGTTGTCTATTTGAAGGTCCTAATATATAGGAAATGTTAAATACATATTGAGTGAATTATTTTGATTATATAATGAAATAGTATTTTCCCATGGACTTCAGTAAAAAATGTAACTTTAGTGATCTTTCTGTTTATTCCATGGATAAGATAGGTGACTACTGGAGTAATATCTATTTTTTCATGTAAAAATTGGCAAAGTCCGTTGGGGGGGGGCGATTTTACAAACTGCGTATCATGAAATCTCAAACAGAAAATGTATGCTTACTAGCCTGTGGCCACAACATCCTGAACATGCTCTGTTTCATCTCATCTCAGAAGCTAAGCAGCATTGGGCCCAGTTAGTACTTGGATGGGAGACTCCTTGGGAATACTGAGTCCAGGTGTTGTAGGCTTCTAGCAAAGGGCCATGAAGATGATGAAGAGATTAGAGTATCTGTCATATGAGGACAGGTAGAGAGAGCTGGGACTGTTCAGCTTTGAGAAGAGAAGGCTGGGGGGGGGGAATCTTATCACTGTGTATAAATACCTGATGGGAGGGAGCAAAGAAGAGAGAGACAGACTCTTTTTAGTAGAGGCCAGTGACAGAAAAAGAGGCAGTGGGCACAATTTGAAATATAGAAAATTCCATCTGAACACAAGCCACTTTTTTTTTTTTCTCTCTACTGTGAGGGTGATTGAACACTGGAAGAGGGTGCCCAAAGAGGTTGTGGAGTCTCCATCCTTAGAGGTACTCAAAAGATTTTTTTATTGTCCTTCACAGTACTGGCCAGCTTCAGCTTTATGTTTCCTAACATCCAGTCTGAACCTCCCCTGACGCAGCTTTGAACCATTCCCATGTGTCCTGTCACAGGATACCAGGGAGAAGAGATCAGCACCTGCCTCTCCACTTCCCCTCCTCAGGAAGCTGTAGAGAGCAATGAGGTCGCCCCTCAGCCTCTTTTTCTCCAAACTAGACAAACCCAGAGTCCTTAGCC